TTTGCTAGCGAAATGACGCGTGTAGCTATAAGGGTGGTAAAGATTTCTAGAAAAGTTTCATTTGATTATTTAAATTCGGAACGAAGGTTGGCGTTACTTTTATTATTATCTTGTCGTATCAAAGGCTGATGTAATCATAAAAATATTACTTGTTTTGAAAAAAATTGCAAAAAAATTGCTAGTTAGCTGTAATTTAATAGATAAGGTTTTCAAACTTCATGTAGCGTAAGTGAATGAAATAAGTTTACGTAAGTAATTCTAATGTTTTATAAGCAAGTTCCAAAAATATTGAGTAAAATAAGACGGCCAAGTGGCACGAAACTAACCTGGTACATATTCCTGTCATTTTCATCTCTGCACCACCTTAAGGTCGACTGTAAGACAATGCCTAAGGAATTAAGTCCACCTGTGCATATGTTTTTGTACGAAGTCTAAATAAATAAAAAAAAATTCAAACGATATTACAAAACTTAGTCACGATTTGACTGAACGAAAAAAGCTATACTTTAGTGTACCTATGAACCACTACGTTTACACATCTTGCTTGACAAAAGAGAAAAAAGAAATCTCCAGTACCTACCATCTTTTCTCATTTAACCTACATACACCTCTTTATACCGCACCTTTATACAATCATAAGTTCTCGTCTCAATAACAGGAACCAGGTACTTAGTGTGCCTCAACCGGGTGAGTCAGCGGAAGCTGTACCTCAAGTAGTGTTGTTGACACTGACTTACCAACTCTCGGTGCTGTGTCACGCTCTCAAGTTCCTCGGCGTGAATGTGCCGTGATTTCTATAGAGCCTCTCAGTTTTGTAGATAATCTTGATTGCGTGTTTTTTATGAAATAGAAGAAAAACTGATCACCTGATGGCAAATAACGCCGTCAATTACACCCGCAAAATCAGAAAAGTCACAGGTACATTCTAAGAAGGAATACGCTCTTTTCTTAGAGGTATTTTACGGTTCTGGAAGATGCTGAGTCTTTTATTATATAGACAATATAATGTCCTCCTCCAACGTCTTGTGAATAAATACTTTATAACACATATTCATCTTATCTCGCCTTTAAATCCTCGAAAGGATATTTAAACACGTGTGTCTGTGGAAGCTGTTCTTCAACTAGTGTTGTCGACACTGACTTACCAACTCTTGGTGCTGTGTCACGCTATCAAGTTCCACGGTGTGAATGTGCGGTGATTTCTATAGAGCCTCTCAATTTGTAGGTAAACTTGATACTGGTAGCTTATACATTACAATAAAACAATAGACATTCATAATCTCGCAGTACAGCATAGTGCTAGTCACATGTCGCCCATATAGACGCTGTTTACAAAACAACGTTGTAATGATTTTAATTCTCTAAACTAAGGTGTAGGTAGAGGTTCTATGCATCTCCGAGACATTGCACGGAGGAGACCAACACCTTACTCTTCTGTACAGCTTGAGGTGCAGCCTGGCAATGCAGGCCGCCACGAGTTTGGGAGCTGCGGAAAAATTTCGTTTTCCGCAACCTCGTACCCACGTGTGAGACGGGACACCGGGGTGGATTTTAGTCAGTAATGCCTGAATACTGAAAGGAAAGGAAAAAAGTATCGTGCCATCTCTGTCATTTTACAAAGAAATTGTAGTGACAGAAATATACTTAAGCGCAACTTAGAATTGAGTGGCGTTTGAATATTTGGATATAAGAGTCTGGCTGTCCCTTTCGTCCTCCCCAGGCGAGGGGGCTCCATGAGTATTTCTCACTTTGGGATCAAAACAAAAGTGCAGTAGAGGTGCACGTAAATATAACAATCATATTTGCTAGCAGTTATGTTATCAGTTTTATTTAAGTACTTAGGTAAATGACATTAGTGTCTACTGTCTAGACCGGGCACAAACGGAGAACCTAACGGGTTACCGGGGCTCCGGCTCGAAGTGCAAGAGAAGGAACGGGGTGGTTTTTAGTCAGTAAGAGTCTGACACTCCTTCCTGCCACACCCAGGCGGGAGCAGTCATTCGATGACTTTCCCCCGTAAAAAAAAGACTGGGCACAAAGTAAGTCTCACTCTGGCTTCTGTCCCAAAATCGAAGTGAGAGAGTCTTAAGTCCTCGCTACTCGACTAAAATAACACTATAGCTCGAACAAAGCACTACTGAGTAACAAAAAAAAAACTTCCACCCGAATCTGATCCCTTTCTTGGGAGTTGCACTTATTACATTCATACAACAATGAATTACACAATATAGTTCATATAAATTTTCTTATTGGAATTAAAATTATCAAACATAAATAAAATTGTAAACAGAATCAACAACTTTGTGTTTTCTGTTTCTCTGAACAAATTCATTTAAAACACATTTTGCATGTAGTGTATAATAAGTAATAAAAATAGACGAACATAAATGGAGAAACTAAATAAATACTGAACTTCATAGAATACAAACGGTCAAGTGCGATTTGAACTCGTATGCAAAGAGTCCCGTATTCCTCACTAGGTAATAGTAAGTTTTAGTCACATAAAAAATAAGTAATAGTTACATAAAAATATTATTTTTTACGTTAATGGTTTTAATGAGCTGTATTCAACCAATCGAGCTATTTCGTTTATTGGAGGTAATTATAGACAGAAAACAATTTAAATGATATACATACATACATAACTTCACGCCTGTCTCCCATGGGGGTAGGTAAAGACTATGGAACGCCAATTACTAGGATTCGTACATATCTCTTTCGTTTCATCAACAGTCATCAATCGTTTCATGCATGCTCGTCCGTTAAAGGTAATTTTAATTTGGCCCTTCTTTAATATATCGCCAATCTGGTCCATCTAGGGGCCTTCTACCGACGCGACGGCCCCATTCATATCCGCTCTGTATACTTCTTTCGTTACTCTACTTTCATCCATCCTTTCTACATGTCCAATCCAGCGTAACATTCCCTTTTCAATCTTTGAAATTAGAGTATCAAATATCAGATCGATCTTACGTCACGAGTGGGTTTAATAATTAATCAATTGCTACTAAATAAACAAACAGGCCAACAAGCTAAATAAAACTGTTTTGTAAAAATAAGTCTGTGTGAGCTCTTTCGTGTACGTCTGTCCATGAACGCGATATACTGCAAAAATGCCTAAAAACCATGTCTGTTGAACGTAACATAACGTCACGCCTTTTATCATCGAAGGGGTAGGCAGAGGTGCACATTACATCACTTAATACTACTATACAATGTAACACCTACTTTTCGCTATTTATGATTTAAGTCCCATGTAATAGGGGGTGAACCTATTGCCGGGAAATTCCAGATTCTGTGCTACTACTATATGTCTTTTATGTCTGTAGATTCCTACCTAAATATTATTTTTTACTTAGTACCTTCTTGTTGTTATGTCTTATGTCACCTAGATGAGGCAGAGTGCGTCCACAGAGGTTATCTATCTGCATAAATATTATTATGAACCATTATATAGCCAGGTGATAGATATATAGACAGGTACGAACAGACAGTATGCTAAAAATCGCGGGTTACTCACGTAGATATACAGAGAATAGCTCTTCCTCAAAAAACCCCTCTATGGTTCGAAACTAGTAGAGCTTTTCAAAGTATATTTACGTGAGTAACCCGCGATTTTTAGTTAATCTAGTATGTCTCACGATAGTTATTATACAACTGACTGGACTGCGTCGTTGGCCGAGTGGTTGTAAGTGCGACAGCCGGGCAAGGGGTCTCGGGTTCGATTCCCGGGTCGGGCAAAGTATTACTGGGTTTTTAAATATTCTCAGTAGTAGCACGGAGTCTGGAATTGTACCCAGTATATCGCAAACGGCTCACCTCCTATTACATGGGACTCATAACATAAATAGTGAGAAGTGGGTGTTACATTGTACAGTGGTATAATGTGCACCTCTGCCTACTCCTTCAGGGATAAAAGGCGTGATGTTATGTTATTATAATAACGAGACAATATTGTCTTTATAATTAATTGGGTCCCGTTATATCGTTTAGATGTGGAACTCTAAAAACGTTATGTTTTTACTACTAAGCTCGTTAAATAGACTTGTATTTCAAAATTGACCTAGTTTTTCAGTCTAGGTGTACGTTGGCAAGATTGGCTCAACCCTTAAGGGAATGAAAGGCATGATACGCCGCAACTACCCATGAACTGCAAGTTACTTTCTTTGATTATGAAACCTAGTGAAGTTTAGAAAATATGTATTTTATATTTGTGTAAACGAATACTATAAGCGTAAAGTACATAATTATTTTATAAATTACGTTTATGTAAACCAACTTCAAACACCACTTGGTTTTAAAGTCGGTTAATTAGTATACTAAAACCTTCGTCGCGGAGAACCTAACGGGTAACCGGGGCTCCGGCTCGACGTGCAGGAGAAGGAACAGGGTGGTTTTTAGTCAGTAAGAGTATGACACTCTCTTCCGCCTCACCCAGGCGGGAGCAGTCATTTGATGATTTTCCCCCTTAAAAAAAATACTAAAACCTTCTCCTAACCGTAACAAATACTTTTCTGAAAACTGCATTCAAATCGGTTCAGCCAGTCGCGAGATAATTGCGCACAAACATACATACAGACATACTGAGAAACGCCATTTTTTTGAAGTCGTTTAAATTTTATCGCCACCTCTACTATTCCCGTGGGTGTTGTCTGCCCAACCCATCTACTAAGGCAAAGAGCACGAATTATATCGAATCCCTCTTTTCTAACAGTTGATTATTACGGACTGTTGAATTGAACTATAACAACATATAGCCAAAACAAAATTCACAAATCGAATGCTCAATTTATAAACATTGTATTTTGAAGTTCGTTCGGCCAAAGGCAGTGGAACAATAGGTACTGTGTATTTTTAAATTCGTACACATGGACCATTAAGTTTACTGATTGCCAAATCAGTCTTTTGGTAGCTACACACGTGACATCACTATCAAACCTCCTCAGTATTCGAACTTTGTGTTTTATTTTTTTTAAAGTGAAGTGTGTGACGTTCCTCGTGTCAGTTTAAATTTTGAAATTTGAATGTTTTGTTCTATTTCGTTATATTTAAATGGATTCGGTACAGTGAGTTTTTGAACATTTTTTTATCATTGACGAAATTATTTGCCTAAAACTGATTTCATTTACTTACTTTTTTAAACAATGTTAGAACTGAATTCAATTCTTTTTTGTTTTTATACAAATATTGATCTGGGAAATGAAGGATGTTTTTATTTCAAGTGTGCTAATCTTCCACTAATATCAGTAAAGTGATGAACTTTTTAAATTCGTTAGTCTTATGTACATTAAACATTTTTTATTGATTTCCTAAACTAAATTATTGTATACACATCCAAGGTTTATTACATTGTACAATGACTTTTTCTCTAGCTCTTACTTATAGGTATGCTGCTTTGTAGTGTTACATATGATGGATACGTAATCATCAATTTTATTAAAGAATGAAAATTAATTTTAGGTATTTTCACATAGAAAAACGATTAAGAAAAATAATTATAATTCCGGCAAATTTCACATAGTAACAAAATAAATTAAAAACGTTCTGTTTGCACCCAGCATAGGCTTTACGGAGCATTGTCTTTGTATTAAAAAAAAAACGGATTAGTTATTACAAGACAAATCGAAATCGAAACATTTGTAAGATTATTCTCGTTACAACTTCTTATTAATCCAGGCTATGATCTATTAATGCGTTAAGTTTCACCGACATCTGATGCCGTTTAGAGAATAAATAGAGAATAATAGAGAGAAAGAGTAATAAATATAAAGACATTATAATTTTATTTTATAACTTTTTTAATTCGTAAACTGTAGTTAAATTATACACAATCACACATAGTAATTAAAGTCAAATCAAATCAAATCAAATCAAATCATGTTTATTTGCTCAAACACATGTGTACATACAATAAACAATAGCATGTAAGATAGCGGGTAGTAGTGAAAAAAGTTCGAGACATGTTTGCCGTATACAATGGCGTGCAAATATAGTAGTCACTCATAATTGGATGACTGGCAGAGAATGCTGTTAGCATTAAGTCCTCCTTATGCAATTGTATTGTATAAAACTTAAATAAATAAATAAATAAATAATGATTGCGAACTAACCGACATCTTTCGAATGTGGTTTTAAAAAAATAATGTTTTTAAAAAATAATGTGGTTTTAAAGGTTTATTTATAATAGTAATTAGCTCATTTGGTCACCGTTTTGTGTTTATTGCAACTGTATAGTTGTTTATATTGTTCTTACAATCAAGAGAACGTGATCCGGTCATTTATTATGGGAACTAAGTTGATTGTCACTATTTTATTCATACCAGTAACCTACTTTCGTGTTTATTTAGTTGCCAATCAATGAGATGATGACATTCAATTAGGTTTAGCTATGGGAAAATTCTCATAACCTATATAGAATACAAAATAAAATATTTGTACCTGCCCGTGATAGGTACAGGGGTAAAATGTACCCGAAAAGAGACATTCCAGACTATAATTTAATTTTAATTTATATTCGATAACAGTCCAATAGTTGTATATAAGTAAAGATCACGTTTTCGAAAACGTTTGTAACAGTTCAGAATCACGGACTTACTTTACAAAACATAATTAACAATTCTTTTACAAACTACGTTAAAAATCGACTTGAATCCCCTCTCCTTTTTAAAATCGGTTACGTAACAGACCTTCTCCTAAGTGTAGCAAATCCTGGTCTGAAAACCACATAAACATCGGTTCAGCCAATTGCAATATAATTGCGCACAAACATACACCTCCTTCTTTTTTGAAGTCAGTTAAATATAATGAGAAAATTAACATTTCGAATCATTTTACGTGAGTAATTCGATATTTTAAATTAATTTAGTACTATGTCTTATATATGACACGTTATTATTATACAAATAAAGTAAAACTAAAGATAATTTGGTGCCATAGTAAGTTTTTTTCATTTCAAAATAAATGAAAACTAACCAATTCTTTTCCATAACTAGGTATACAAAAAGATATAAGTAGAAATGTGCAAGGTATCGTTTTATTCACAAGACAAGCCATTTTCAAGACCATTCATTCCTGAATCCATAAAAAATCATAATAAATCAAAAATACAAGCGCGATCTCAGCTAAAGTCCTTCCCATATTTATAAGAAAAGGTGTCATAAATCAGAAAAATATTACAATAACGTATGTACGTTTATCTTTTGCTATATTCAGAAATCTGAGCGTAGTATTTCCATGATATTTCCTTCTAGCATATCTTGGCAATAAAATCAGATACAATGACACAGTGACATCAAAGATTTCTGGCGCAACGTGTTTTTTCCTCGTCTCGATTTGAAGGGAAAATGTTGAAGAAAATATTCTCGTATTTTCCCCTTAAAGGAAAATGGGGTGATATTAACGCACCCTGTAAATCTTGCTGCATGTATGCTCTAAAATGGTATGCTAAAAGGCATTTTATTGACCATGTTTAAAAATCGAACGCCTATCAATTAGGTAGTATCCAGGGTATAAAAAATTAAAAATCTAATTAGTCGGTCAGTTATATATTTAAAAAATATTAGACACGTATTTTTTTATTTTCTTGTATTAAGTTGCAATACTTTGATAAAATGGTGCTAAGTTCAGGAGTGGGGGGTCGTTACGTCATAACGTGCTACCAAATGTGACACGCTGTGACGTCACACGATATTTCAAATTAATGTATCAGACGGACATTAAAATAAAATTTAGGAAACTATCCTATTAGCAAACATACCTGAAATGAGCATGGTAATTTTGAACAACATTCCGACACACATGCTATTAAGTGACAAGTGCTCAATTAAACTGTCAAACACCAAGCGGTCACCGGTGACCGCAACCTATTGTTCTATAATTGTGTCTACAAAACCGGTACTCGACGAGTTAAAGCATGCTTTCGTGCTTGAACTTAGCATATGTAGCAACACAGTACGCTTATGAGTTTTATTACTTGTTTTTTTTCTAAAATGTTATTCTACAAATAAAAAACGTCAAGTCAAAGGTTAGGTTTAGATGAAGATGCATCGATAAATCGCACTATTTTTTCAATGCTTATGTTATGAATAATACAATATGCAAGTAATATATTTATATTAAACGTATTGTGCGATTATATTACAAAAACATAATAGTTTTGAGAGTTTTTATTGTTTTAATTGCAATAACATGTCCCATATAAACGTATAAGTATTGGCTTATCGTAAAAAAGTAATTACTAAAGCATTGTCAGTCAGACTAAGCATGCCGATAAGTGAACCGGTCTTTTTTATTATTTTAAATAAATAGCCTTAGAAATGTACTAAGTAGTTATGTAAAATGAACTAAATATAATGTAGAACTAAAGATTTATTGATGCGATTCTTTTCGATGTTTTTCAACGGCATGATTTCCACGTTTCGTTTATCGATGACGCATTCCATTGTTACGTACAAAACGGGTACACATCGATGTACAATCGCGTACTATACAAGTTGTACTATACGCCCTTCATTTCCTAGGTCATACACTTAAAAAAATATCCAGACATGTGTTCACTCACACATGTAAGTGTGACGATGTTTATAGAATCCACTTACGTCATGTGCTGAGTTGTTGTAAATATTTTTTGTATCGATAAGGAAGATAAAATACCATTGTCCTTTGATACGTTCAATAGAGTGGTGTCTATGGGTGTTGCACTGTGAAATGAGGGCTTTGCTCGCCATATCTCTCTGCCTAGTGTGTTTTACGGATCAAAGTTATGCTACATTCGCCGATTTCATGAACAATCTGCCTTCTGAAATTGCGGTGAGTTTTTTTGGACTTTTCATTTCGCTTTGTGTGTCGTGTACAACTATTAAATAGTACTAATTTATATGTATTGTGTGAAATTTTGACTAACAATATAATGATGTAGTACATTTTGTAACATGTAAAAGAACTACAACTGTAATCAATCAAAAATGGCTAACGGTTGTAGGATAAAAACTTACGGAAAAGTTCTAGTCGACGTTGCTTATCGAGCATTGGGTACAAATAATGTCACCCCGGTTGAGCTAACATCAAAAGTGACAGACAAATAAAATAAATTAAAGTTATGGAGGGTGTAGTTAATGATGTAAATTGTATACACAATAAGGCTAAGAACTCACGGCGCGGTCTTCATAGCGGAATGAAGGCGGAATTTCCAAATCTCACCTGCCGCGGTTGCAGATGTCGGGTGCAAATTTGGCGATTGATTATCGCAAGACGGGCGAGCGGTTAAAAATCTGTTGAGTTGCTGTCCGGCAGTCCTATTGCGATTGCCAACCGGTCGCAGAGCGCGCGTTCTAGCCGATATTTCTAGCCGAATTCTACGAAAGCTGCCGGTCCGCAACTGCGGCGGACACGAAGGGAAATCGTGCCGTGTATCCTTAGCCTAAATTACTATATCCATTTACATTAATGACAATTGTGTAACAACAAATCTTTCGCAGTTGCGTTATAAGTCGGATAAAAATATATGCCAGTTAGATAAATAAGTAACTTTTAACCTTTTTAATTTATTTTGAACTGACTTTTAAGTCCAATATTCTATAAAATATCTATGCTATTCCATCTACAGAAAAGATAATAATACAGTAATGAAATAAATATTAGAAAAGTAATCGTAAAAATGTTTTCTATGTTATGTTTAATCTAAATAAGTTTATTTTTGTTAGCTGACTTTTTTGAAATTGACCACATAATATATCGAACTGGGTAATCTCCTAATATTTTTGTTTATTACACTGAAGAATTTCTATCTATACAAACATATATATGTATATAAAACTCTTTCGTTACTGTGTGACTGACAGACAACGCACAGCCGAAATTACTGAACTTAGGAAGCCAAAACATGACACGAGTGCACCAAGAGAAGATTTCTCTAAATTCCAACAAGAACGAGAATAATGGAAATCACCTGTTTATGTGTATATCGTTGCTGACAGAAGCATGTGAACTTTAATACAAACTTCTCACTACAGTCTACAGACAGTAATATCATTATATTTATACACAATATAGATGAAAAAGTAAAGGCTATATCAATATTTAATTACGTTGAACTGAGTCACATATAACTGTTTTACGAGGTGACGCGACTAGATTCAAGTCATATCGGGGCTCATAGTTACGGATATCATTACTATTCGTCTCGTACTACATCATAATTCTTTAATGCTCGTATTCACAAACCTTTTTTTTATTTTAACGAACCCCTAAGCAAAGATAGGTGACAGCTAACAACGTTTTGATTTTCACCGATATATAAGTGATACCTAACAGTGCAAGTGACACTTAGCGGTACTAGTTAGTTTAGGTGCTACATCACGAATTATCTTTTAGTTAAGATATGGTTTAAGGATGAATTAAACAGTGAACGATATGATTTTTCCATGGTCAGCAACACGGGAATGAGACCTGTAGTGTTACGGAGACTACGGTAACAGCTGACCATCAGCACCCACAGTTTTGTAGCCATATAAAGCTAATAATTAAAAGTTATTTTGACTGAACGATAACTTATACTAATATATAACACGGTTATAACTACCTGCTACGTTACATAGTGGGCCTAAGATAACAATTTGAATGGTGAGTTCTAACATTTAAAATTACTTATGATGTTTTTTAAAAATAACATAACATTGCGAATTCAGATTCGCAAAAGTAAATCGTCTTTCCTCATTGGCTAAGGGGACGATCGAAAATAATATTCCTGGGTCAGGTATTAATAATATTTTGGTATACATTTACCAAGTTTCTGTAACAAAATATCTTCAAGTAGAACAAGGCATGATGTTCTGTTATAGTAATTAAATTAGTTATATATATAAATGTAACCGTAACTTCAAAATTGATATCAATGATTTTGATATTAAAGTGCAATTTTGCGTGATAATAAATAAGTTTAATTGATGTTAATTTGCTAGGCCATTTTTCTTTCAGACCGCTTTCAGTTCAGCTTGGGACTCTATTACTGATGTTATCAAAAAACCAGTGAGGATAAAACGACTTGGTCACGGAGGTAGTAAGTACTTTAATACTACGTTAAAAAAGACCATATGTTCCTGAAATAAAGCTTCCAAAGAATTTTTCAAATTGATCTAATAGTTTTATAGCGTATTTATTTAATTATACATACGGATAGAAACAAAAATTGCATCAAATTCAATAAATTTGGACAGCACGTTGTCTTCATTATAGTATCAATATTTTCAATAACAATAGCTACGTTTGATACACTCAAATTATTATGCGGTAGATCTGCGCTGGTTTTAAATCTAATCGCGTGTTTAGGCCAAAATATTAGATTATTCAAGGCATAATAATATTGCCTCTATTCATTACACACTTTAATAATTTTAGAAAGGACATCAATTTGCCTACATAACTTATTGTTTGCGTATTCATATAAATAATTTGAATTCAATATCCCAATATGAGTCTACATATCACATCGAAAGCATATAAGAGGCCCCTGCTGACCATGGGCCTCTTCTCATGGAAAATGCGAGTTTGGGATATCAAAATTATAATTAGAAATTATAAACGGAACTTTCCTCATGATCTTTTCCTTCACCGTTTGTCAGTAGTATGTAAACAATGACTTTATATACTAAAGATTAATTGTATGTTTCAGAACATAAAACATATACGACTACTACCGATGAACCAATCAATCGCCATAAAAGAATTATGATGAGAAGAGCAAAAACTACGCCAGATTTTGGTCATTTTGAGTACTCAGAAGCCACTACAGTAGGCCTCAAAGTTACACTACCATTACTGCTAGCTCCCTCGTTCAAAAATTACAATGAATGGAGTGATATGCAAAGAGCCTACTTTACGAGACATAACCACATAAGAAGACTGAAAGTTGAAAACAAAAATTCGATAGAAGAGGTTATTGTACAACATTTTAATAATACCATGCCATTAACTTCTTCTTCAATACCTCTATCATTGCACGAGTAAGAGTGTTATTCTCTTTTCTTCTTCATCTTTCACCAGCATTTTGAGCAATAACATTTTTGTTTAATATTTTATTTTTTCTTCTTCCTTTTCTTGGTCCAAATTAATCTGGGTGCACATTTTCCCATCTTTCTTAGCACATATTATCCTATCTCCATCTCTTGGTCTTTAATATAACCAAGACTTATGAGCCTGTGGGCTCACCTGGCGCACCCTCTTTCATTTGAGTTTTATCACATAGTAAGGATGGTATTAGCTATTATGCTTACTGCATACAGTGCTCGGGAAACCAGTCTTAAATTTTATCTGTCTATATATGATCGATCCACTCAAAAAATAACTGTTGGTTTTTCATAGAGTTTGTATTATCTGCCTTCCCTTTTCGGATAAAAGGGCGTTCTCTTTCTCTCGTACCGATCATATCAGAATTACTAGGTTCCTAAAACGTTTCTGCAATAATATTATGGATGGACCATCTCGGTAAGATATACCCATGACAAAGAATACGTAGATTAACAATAGTAATAAATGACTTTTATGGCCTAAACGCAGAGGTAAGCAGAGTTATATATTAAGTATGTAGGTAAGGAAATAAAAATTGGCCCAGTACAGAGTAGGCAACTAGTACTTATTTCTAAGCCATATCTTCTGTAACCATTGGTTGGGTTCAGTAGCCAAGCTAAACCAATTTTAAGTATGGAAGAGCCAGGCCTATTTAGGGTAATTGAGCCTCTCCATTCTCCCCAATCTCCGAATCTCTAAACAATCCTCAAATTCCTAATCTTCATAACGCCTTCAACACACTTGTAACGCCTCTGGTGTTTAAGGTGTCCATGAGCGACGCCAATTACTTACCATCAGGTGATTCAGCTGCTCGTTTACCGATATATCCCATATGAAATGGTTACTGTCTCCTAAATATATCTAGCTGTGCTGACTGTACGCGTATGCAATTTAACACTCACTTTTTGACAGTTGTGTTATAAGTTCTATATAGTAGATGTATGTATATAGTAGATGGATGTATTGCTGAGAATTTTTTAAGATCGGAAAATTTAGAATCGAGTAAAAGTGAAGAAAAATCAAAAGCTTTGATACAACTGACTATTATCAAACCTACACTGATATTGATTAAGAGTTCGATGGTAAGAAAAAGTATCAATAGTTCTTTTTTTTTATAAAAGCGAAGACTAGAATCATAAGTAAGAGTCAAGAAAAGAATGGTTGGTCGACTATATAATCAGTTGCCACCAGGCCGGTTAGTGGTAAAAGCACAACGAAGACTAGACCTATGCAATAATCCTTGAAGTGAAAAAAACGTACATACAAACATGTATACTCATGTCTATGTTCCATGAAAAAGGGATAGGGAACTACAGGAAGCCACTTAGTACCCCGCGCCTTACCCTTTTAACAAACTCTAATGTAGTTACCGTGTGTGTTCATCTTTTCCAGATTTGTATACGTTTCAAATAGTTTTTAATACCTTGTTTCATCACTTTTGATACCTTTCCGCAATTCATCTTTTGTCCCCCTCTCATCATCATGTTCAAACGGTCTAGTACGACTTCTTGGGTATGACGTTTTCGGATAAGTCCCATAAACAAGTTCCCTTCAAAGTTCAAGTGAAACGAATGAATAGAAAAGTCAATTTATGGAAGTTTTGACTGCCTCGTTGGCCAAGTGGTCACAATTGCGACCGCCAGGCAAGGGTTCGATTCCCGGGTCGGCCAAAGTATTACTGGGCTTTTTCTAAAAATTTCAGTAATAGCACGGAGTCTGGAATTGTGCCCGGTATATTGCAATAGGCTCACCCCTTATTATATGGGAGTCATAACATAAATAGTAAAAAGTGGGTGTTACATTGTGCAGTGGCATTAAGTATCAGTTACAAATAGAATTTCGTTAAGACGGAGTATGTAAATGTGTGGCCCTTTTTGACCGCGTATTGTAATTAATGCTTTTTTGTAATGTACAGGATGTCCTGAACTGGACACCAGACAGTCCGACCTGGGCACCAGACGATCCGACCTGGGCACCAGACGATCGGACCTGGGTACCAGACGATCCGACTTGGGCACCAGACGGGCCGACCTGGGCACCAGACGGTCCGACCTGGGAACCAGACGGTCCGACCTGGGCACTAGACGTTCCAACCTGGGAACCGGACGTTCCAACCTGGGAACCGGACGTTTCGACCTGGGCACCAGACGTTTCGACCTGGGCACCAGACGTTTCGACCTGGGAACCAGATATTTTGACCTGGGAACCACACGTTTCGACCAGGACACCAGACGATGATGACGATGATGATGATAAAACTGCTTATGATTACACGAAGGAAGAGAAGAGAAAAATACATTATCTTCTTTATTCGATGGCAAAGAAAAGGTTTTCAAAGCTTAAAAAATTACACCCTAGGAAGAATGAGCCCACATTAGGGTTGTGTAAATTTTTGAGTCGTCTTTATACTTCGAAATATGATCATTATAGTCAGAATAGAAGAGGAGACACCGCCTATTAGTCGTGACGTCAGATTTCATAGCTATGTATAGCAGTGAATAGTTTCGTGTGATCTTAATCAGACTGTGATAAAACTGTTTATTTGTGAGATAAATTATATTGAAATTTTGATATTGTTTTGTTTTATTTCGTTTAAGTTTTAGATCTTTAAATATATCTAATTTGTTTACGTTTACTTTTTTATTGTGTAAATCTAATTTATTAGAAAACATATTGTTATTAGAAAGAAATAAATGATATTGTTATTTGTTATAATTTTTCAAAATTTTCTGATTATTTTTTCCATTATGAGCCTTGAAATCGCAGAACATGACATGACACACATGAAATATTATTAAGTAAATAAAAAATCATTACGAATGTTAATAATTTTTATGAGTACAAATAATTTTAATGCTATTGGGATGATGACAGGGTATTAAAATTAAAAATCTGATTAGTTAGATAATGAAAAAATATTAGACACGTATTTTTTATTTTGTCGTATAATAAAACCATACTTGGATAAAACGAATCAAAGTTTAAAAGGGGGGGCTAAAACGTTATTTCTACGTATAAAATGTACGTACATAGAAGTGACGTCACGCGACATTTCAAATCAATATACATATCGTCGAAAGTATTCGTTTCTGTAAGAAAATAAAAAATACTTGTCTAATGATTTAAAATAATTTACAAGACGGACATTAAAATAAAAATTAGGTATTTACCCTATTATAGAAAAGTATATTATAATTACTTTTCATTACCACATTCTTTACACACGGTTTTAGCAAAATATGAATTTAAATCATTTTTTTAATATATATTTTTTCATTAATTTTGTTAAACTTTACATACCATAGGTACATTATTTAGGACATTATATACATCTCCATACTTAGCATACTATACAATGCCAAATTATGAATTACATTTTTTTTTTAGGGAAAATCATCGAATGACCTCTCCCGCCTGGGTGAGGCGGGAGGGAGTGTCAGACTCTTACTGACTAAAAACTACCCCGTTCCTTCTCCTGCACGTCGAACCAGAGCCCCGGTTACCCGTTAGGTTCTCCGTTTGTGCCCGGTCTAGACAGTAGACACTAATGTCATTTACCTAAGTACTTACATAAAACTCATAACATAACTGCTAACAAATATGAATGTTATATTTACGTGCACCTCTACTGCACTTTTGTTTTGATCCCAAAGTGAGAAATACTCATGGAGCCCCCTCGCCTGGGGAGGACGAAAGAGACAGCCAGACTCTTATATTCAAATATTCATTATGAATTGCATAGAACGTCGGTAACAGATACGAAAATGAAAAATTATGGTATAGATAATAATAATAATATATGGTACAACTCTTTTGATAGTTTCTAAAGGGTGTATATTTTTTAAGAATTAAAAACTTTTTTTGCCTATAAAGAATGACATATTTGGTCCTCTAGAATTATAAGCCCGTTCATCATCTGGTGTTCATAATTCGGACAACCTGTAGATATCAAAATCAAGCTATTGTGAGTAGACAAATACATAATGCAGCGTGTTGTGGGTTCCACCTCGCAACAAAGAAGGCGTCCAGACATTCTGTAATACTGTAGCTATAAGACGACTTAAAAAAATGATGCGTCTAGCCAAGAATGGGGTACATACACCTTTAGCATGTCGATGAGGGCAGGTGACAGTTGTTTTAAGAAATCTACTAACAAAGTACTGAATGTAGGAAATCATTAAGAACTTATTTTTATTTGCAGAATCCGTTCTTCCATCAGCACGAGAGTAAATGGCGTCCTTATTAAATTATGGGAACGACCTTCCATCACGTCATAAGCAACGATATGTGACTTATACGGAATCGAAGGCTGGAAAGAAACGTTTAAGTAATTGATGAATAAAGCCAGGAGTTTTTACCAAAAGTAACAGTTAATGATGGTCGTGGTTGATATTTGGCTACGTCATCACCATTCGGGATTCTGATTGGCTCGCTTTGAATGTTGCCAGGATGGAGAATATGACGTCATAACTGCTACTACTAAAACAACAATTAAAATAATGTTTATTTTGAAGAAGAATGTATTTCTTGTTATGATGTTTTCAATAGTTTTTCCTGATCTGTTGCCATATTGGTAGTGGGTTTGGTTATAGTTTTTTTTATATTTATATTTTCCCAGTTAGTATTATAAATGTAAAAGGAGTTTTTTCTACTTCTTTACGCTTTATCTCAAATCAAACCAAATCACTTTAAAACTATAATAAATCACTTTAATCTAAATATGGCCCTTTTAGCCACCTCGAAAGTACTTAAAATCTGCAATTACAAAATAATAAGAAACATTGTTTTTATTTTTACGTACCTATAATACTTGCAATGGTCAAATCTATTCAACTAGTCTTTTCAAAATCGTGTATAAACATAGTTAGAAGTATAGAAAACGATACAGTACAAATTCACGCGAGCTCCGGATAAAATAGAGTGAAATATTTATTATCACTGATTTGATATCTGTAAATGATGAAGGACGAACAAGAGAGCAAAGAGGGGAGGTAAAGCGATTGTAAGACTCCGTGATCCTAGCCCGGGTTATCTGTAACTGAGACAAAAGACTTAGGAGATCTGAATGATGGATTGAGGTAGACACGATCTTATCATTCCTCTACAAAAGAATTTACAGTCTCTACAAGGTCATCTTTAAAAACCTTTCTCAAAAAATATGAACACACTTTCTTTGAAATGGTATTATATAAATCATGCAAAAAAATATATGGGCACCGTTTGAATTTGGAAGCATTTAAACCACAATGTTCTTTTATTGAATTAAAAAAAGTTTTATTTGATTTCGTTGCTTGTTAATTAAAAAAAATAAAGTTAAAAACATGTATGCGTATGCAAAACAAAACGTTTATATTGCGAATGGTTCGGTTTGGTGACATTAAAAAAAAATTGTATCTAGCATTTTAAGCAAGAGCTGTTTACTGTATGCAAGTAACCCTTTTTTTCTTCTCCTCTATTAATATCTTCTGATTTATGCCGTTGCGCGATCCAAGGCAGTTATTCATGTCTCTGAGACGCACTGGACGCACTGGACTTCAGTGTTCCGGTGTTTTCATAGTTGTATCTACTGTAGATCCTGGCTTACAGAAGTTGTAGCGGTTTTGGGAGGTTGTAGCGAGCCTGTCCCAAAAATATAACTTCAACATTTTTTTTTCTTGATCTTTACTTGTATGTATATTCTGATCACTACATAGTGTAAAACAAAGTCGCTATCCGCTGTTTGTCTGTCCCTATGTATGTTTAGATCTTTAAACCTACGCAACGCATTTTGATGATGTTTTTTTTAATAGATAGAGTGATTCTTAAGGAATGTTTATATGTATACATGCATATTGCACCCGTGCGAAGCCGGGGCGGGTCGCTAGTATCAAATACTTATTATTTTGCAAGCAGCAGTAGTAGCTATAGTAATACTATACGAGATGTTATTAAAGTCAAATAAAAACTACTTCAAATTACTAAATCAAAATAGTAAACATGGGTATAATTTTTTTTGTTATGAATTCAATCAATCGTTATTACGTAAGACAAAACCATTGGTGGAAATATTACATCATTTGTACCAGTGTACTACAGACCGACAGACATTATGACTATACCACTACAAAAAAACATGCGATTTATAATCGCATTTTCGTGTTTAAATTTAGTTTATTGTGAATACCATTCGAATTCGGTTAGTGACCTTCTTAAATCTGAGGTGAGTTGATTTTTTTTTTAAGATAGTTGGTGTTTACCTATGTAATGATTTTTAGTTATTCAGTGATTTGACGTTTTCCTTAATTCTCGTTTAAATATGGAAGTATAGAAGTTCAAGTAAATGTAACGTATTTTTTTATAAGCCGTTAGTCGTTTTTGAAAAAAGAATTCGACATTTTTGTTTTGTGAAAGTCACGTTTGGCACAATTATACTGCACGTGCACATTTTATTTTATATAGTCAGTAAATTTTTTGTTTCCAGAAAAGCATTTAGGGTCTGCCTCGTTGGCCGAATAATCGCAAGTGCGACTGCCGGGCAATGGGTCTCGGGTTCGATTCTCGGGTCGGGCAAAGTATTACTGGGTTTTTAAAAAATTCTCAGTAGTAGCACGAAGTCTGGAATTGTGCCCGGTCTATGGCAATAGGCTCACCCCCTATTACATGGGACTCATAACATAAATAGTGAAAAGTGAGTGTTACATTGTACAGTGGCATAATGTGCCTACCTCTTCATGGATAAAAGGCGTGATGTTATGTTATGTCATTTAGAGACACACACACACACACTCAAAGTTGCATTATTAGTAAAGTATGAGGTTAAGTGCGTGTACATTAATTTATATCTCGATACTTCGTAAAATGAAAAGGTTATTTACAATTACTTTAAAAGTTTACCTGTTGTGAAGAAGAGGAAAGAGAGCGTCATCAAAATTTGCGATGTATGTGTCGTCGCAACGCATTTCTATGCTCCCGCCTATAGCCAATAATAATTATTATAAGCTATCTGATGATTATGAAATCTGTGTTATTATATTTACAGGAAGCATTTAAAAATACGTGGGATGTCATACAAAAACGTGTTCCAGCTTCAATAACTGGGACAGTTTTTAGAAGGATAAGTAAGAAAAATTTGCCACTAATTAGAATATTTTTTGAGGGGGACAATCATCCAATAACTTCTCCCACCTTAGGTGAAGGAAGAGAGAGTGTTATACTCTTAATAACCACCCTGTTCCTACTCCCGCTTCAAACCGCAGCCCCGGTAACCCGTTAGATTGTCCGCAGCTCCGGATCGAGTACTAGCCTTACTGGGATCCATCTGCGGTAAACAAGTGAAACAAGTGAATTTATTTCTGCAAATAGGCTACAATGATAGGATGAGGCCGACATTTCCTAACTGACTACTCTGAGAAGAAATGCCGTAACAAACTCAGAGGTCTGTCTCTTTTAAAGTCCAGAAAAGGTAGTCCAGGTAGTCCAGGTAGTCTCACTGCTCTTTGAGACGTGCGCGGAATAAGGTGCGCCGTATGTTCGGGTCTGGTACTGGTCGAGCGACGAGCAAGGAACGGTCCTTGCTGTCCGCAGGCTCGCACTTACGGTGGTCGGAGGTTGTTGCGCCATGAGTGTCTCCTGCTGCGATAAAGGCTCGAGGAGCATTGGAGGAGCGCTCCGTATCCTCCTTAGCTACTATGTAATGGACAGCAGTATCCTAACTTAAAAATATTTCCAACATAACAATAACAACATCGTTATAGTCGTAGGCGGTAGCTGCTTACAAGTAACAGGTTATTGGGGAGGCCTTTGTAGCATTGATGAGTTCATCCATATATCACTACATAACAGTACTCATGTCATTACTCATTTACGTTACATTTTTTTTTGTCTTCTCCTCTATTAATATCTTCTGATTTTTATCGTTGCGGGATCCAAAACAGTTATGCATGTTCTTGGGACGCGCCGGACTTCAATGTTCCGGTGTTTTCATCGTTGTATCTACTGTAGGTCCTGGCTTACAGGAATTACAGCGGTTTTTGGAGGTTGTGGCGGCCTTGTACCATTAAAATATTACTACTTACTGGCAAAAAGTGAGTCCTTCTCGGAAAAAAGACGTAATATTGCGTGTAGATAAAAACTATACTTTTGTAACACAGGTCGCGAGAGCGGAATCTATGAGGACCTCAAGTTTAGTTCAGGCGAGAAGAAAGACGTTCAAGTTCCAACAAGTTCACACGCACACAATGCCTACAGGAGAGTTAAGTAATTAGTAATTACTATCTACTTGAATCAACACCCTACTAATTTTATTAGTAAGGTATTTGCTAAGTTACTAACAGTCGGAACCCCAAGAGACAGAAATCCAAATCTTTAATGCACCAGATATCAAAGAGTAGGAGTAGACTGCCCATTATATTGTATTCTAGACTTAACTTGTTTCTTCAGATATTTTTCTAGTTTTTTAGCAATTAAGCCACTGGTATATCATACAACTGCCGGTACAATCAACGCATATATCCACAGTAGCATGAGCTCAAACTAAGATATATTTATAATGTCTATCGTGAAATATGCACCATTAACGAAAAACAACGGTTTGCTCACGTAGACATACTGAGAAAATCTTGTAGGTCGGTAGATAGGCTGTGTGGAATCGCCGCGACCGCACACGCTACTTATGAGGAAGACTCCCACTGGACTCGAAACAAGTACAGATTCTCTCCGTATATCGTCGTGAGACTCCGTACATCTGTATTTTAGTTAACCAAGATAACGTCTTTATCATTTTGAATACTTTTACTAAACAGTGCACTCACTATTTTAGGAAAAGATGCATGATTAATCATTTTTTTTACAGGTGCAAATACAGATTTTGCGACGAATACGATAACAACTAAACGTCACAAAAACTACATACTGCAAATCCCCTTATTACCAATTCCTAAGTCTCGATACCAAGAGCGGTTCAGGATGTATCCCCGAGACAAGTTTTATGGTGGTCCAGGTAATAAAAAGCAACTATCGTTGAAGTAGTTATTCCATAGTGAACTTATAGAAGTTAATCTATTAGTTTTAACTTTTTGGCCCCGTAAAGTTACTTTTTGAACAGACATTTTTAGTACAACAATAGTCCTAATAGTTCTAATTCCTGTGACGTATAGATAAAAACAAATGATCAGATAATTCCAGCAGTTTCGACATTATGAGCAGAAATCTTTTTGGCGAATCATACTTATTTGAATAAAATAACTATTAACTAATTAACAATTTAATTTTATATTTAACTTTATGTACTGATTTTCAGATCCATTTAGAAGAAGACACAAGCCAACCAGAAGTCCTAGGACACGAACAAAGTCTGACAAACAGAAAAACGATAGAGGGAACACTAGAACTAGTAAATAAACAATTTTCTTTACCTATTAATACTTAAAGCAGTTTTCACTAATCACACCAAAAGTGTCACTTAACTAGAAGTCACAATTAAACTAACCACTTACTTGTACTGTTAGGTGTCATTTGTAAGTTGGTGCAAACAAAAATTACGTGTCATCTATCTTACCTTGGGGGCTTCTTTTTTAGGAAAGGGTGGTGAAAACGAGCATTAGAGTATTTAGATTAGGGCACAGGGTGTGATATTCCCTGAGTAAAGTTTTGGGAGGATCCTCCAACCGGACGAGGTGATTAGCCTGGAAGGTTACTGCCCAATAGTTGTATGCTGGGACTTTCTGTCCGCGTTATTTCGATTGTAATCTTCAAAGTACTGTTATACACATGATTTAAAATAGTATGTTAAAATGCGTTCTATTGGGCATGCTCAAAATACTCCAAAAATTGAACGCCTCTCGAATAGCAAACATGCCTTATTTTAAGTAATATTCCAACAGACATACTACTAAGTGACAAGTCCTCAATTGGGCCGTATTGATGCTCACTGGATATCGCTAGTGTGAACCTCTCGTTCTTCGCCGAATAGGAAATCAGCGACTGTCATTGGAAGTACAATATTTGACAGCTGCTGTGATTGGACGAAATAACTTCTTCCTACATTTGCCGATTATAACATTCTTTTGAGCTTAAAATTAGCTTAGGTAACTGTACGTTTAGTCAAGTGATGAAGACTTTACATTTTGTGTAACTTGTGACGTCACCTGCTGATTTAAACGTTAAGTAAACCACGTGCCATTTAAATAACAACCCTAATTAATGTTATTTAAACTAACTTTCGACTGACAATGCTTTTTGTATTGATGTAATTGTTATCCAAATCAAAAATATTATTATTAATGCAAGCAGTTATAAGTTTGTATTATTTATAAATATTGCCGTGTTTCGAAAACTTTAGCTTCAGATAAAAACAGTAATTGTAACCAATTACAATAACTTTAACACATATCAACTAATAACCAATAGCAATCGAAGGCTTGAGATCCATTTTTGACATTGTTTCTATGGCTAGTCAAAAATTTAGATAAAGTCAGAGATTTTCAATCCCGGGTCGGGCAAAGTAACAACATTTTCACTATTTATGTTATGAGTCCCATGTAATAGGGGGTGAGCCTATTGCATTACCGGGCACAATTCCAGACTCCGTGCTACTAGTAAGAATATTTAAAAATCCAGTAGGTAATACTTTGCCCGACCCGGGAATCGAACCTGAGACACCTCTTGCCCGGCAGTCGCACTTACGACTACTCGGTCAACGAGGCAGTCGGGCAAAGTATTACTAGTTTTTTTTAATTTCTCAGTGGTTGCACGGAGTCTGGAAGTGGGTATTTACTATGACAATAGGCTCATATACTATACAAGACAAGACAAGACAATAGTAAAAAGTGGGTGTTACTTTGTAAACCCACTTTTTACTATTAATGTTATTGGCATCAACTGCTATAATGTGCGCCTCTGCCTACCCCTTCGGGGATAAAAGGCGTGATGTTATATATCTATTTTGAATTAAAGTCGTTTATTCATAACTTTTGGACTTCTTTCGTCGAATGATAACTAATTGTGATGGTATTATTCCAGGAACCTTAAGAAGAAAAGGGGTGCCGAAATCAGGAAGGATTCGTGAACAACGTGTAGCTAGTAAGTTAATTATAGTTTTGTTAAGATTTTTAAATAGGGAAGATGCCTAATTTTGTATTTAATGTCCGTCTGGTAGATTATTTTAAATCATTAGACACGTATTTTTTATTTTCTTACAGAAACGAATACTTTTGACGATAGATTGATTTGAAATGTCGCGTGACGTCACTTCTATGTAAATTTGTACGTAGAAATGACGTTTTAGCTCCCACTTTTAAACTTTGATTCGTTTTATCTAAGTATTGATTTATTATACAACAAAATAGAAAAATAAGGGTCTAATATTTTTTCATTACCTAACTGACGGACTAATTAGATTTTTAATTTTCATACCCTGTCATCATCCCAATTCTTCCGAAGTCTAATTCAAGAAAACTTTCCTGTGCATTACGGTGCATACTTGTCTTGTACACGATATCATCCAAAGTGCAAAAAGACAATTTGACATCGATTACGAAAACTCAATAGACAATCGTAATCAAAAATTAAGGGTACATGTAAATTGACAAATACCACGAACTATAGAAGTTAACTAAAAGTCGTGGGTTACTCACGTGAATATACTGAGAAAAACTCTTCTAGTTTCGAATCAAAGAGGGGTTCTTTCTCAGGTCGCGGCGATGTCGCGCACGCTGCTTTTTACAGTGCATTCACGTAAGTAAGCCGCGGTTTTTAGTTAATTTAGTATGTCTCACGATAGTATTATAAAAATTATAGAGGCATTTCATTGTTAATAGAAGTATCTACCTCTATTAACAAAAAAAAACTTTCACTTTTCTTCTATTTATCTCAACGGACTCTGAAAACGCATAATTCTCAATAAAATATATAAATATACCTACCTTTACGTTTTTTTTTGTTGTCAACGTATTTTTTTGTTTCAGTCCCACATCTAATATCTGAACAGAAGTCGCAAGTTGTGCTGCCAATATTTAATTTCAGTAAATATGATGTATTTGGTAAGTACCAATCAATTATTATCATTCGTCAAGAAAATCTAAATTACCTTAAAAAACTTTTGACCGCCACAGTGATGTAGACTAGATACAGTTTATTGGGCCCAACACACCATTGCAATGTCGTAACTGTGTAACAATATTAAAACGTAAAAGAGCCATGCTTCGGCACGAATGGGCAGCCTCGACCGGAGTGATACCACGGCCTCATAGACAACCGGCGTGAAACAACGCTTGTTCTAAGTATAACCACGTAAGTGAGGTTATAGACATTTTATGAGGTGGCGGCCAAAAGGTTCGAAGATTTTAAAAAAACATTACGTTTACTTATTGTATTTTACTTATTTGTCATTTCATTTTAGTACTTCGCACACACGACTGTGAACAATGGCTGAGATAATGCGTTTTGTATTTTCTCTAAAATCTTCACGAACAATTATAAATAGATGCAATAACGGAAACAATATACAAGTTTGTACTGTACAAACATATTAAATGTGATGTACTAAAATAATGTGTACTGTTTTAATAACAAAAAACCCTTAATAAGAATGCTACGTTTAGTCCGTAACAACCTAGTGTTATGAATAATTACCCAAAGTTCTAGATTCTAATCTCGTTTAATGTACATTCATAAATAATGTGGTCATAATTAGAAAAACTAACGAATTACTTCGTTAATTAACTATTTAATCTTGTGTCGTGTAATCAGAAATTTCATTACGTTGTGTTGTGATAGATAGCTTTGTAAGTACAGTTGCCAGCAGTTGAACCTATACTTTTACACTTATGATTATATTACACACTTACGACCAATGAGGCTGTTGTAATCAAAGATGTTGAAAAAAGGTGAATGCAGTCTCTTGAAATAACGATTATAGCACCTGGTTACAATAGACTTACACGCTGAACATACACACATTAACACGAAGGACATCGGCCATTTTCTTAAGTCTGGTATCGTGGTAACCCTTTACACACGAACAGATAAAAACCATTGACATTTTGGTGCTGCAATCATTTCTTAGTGACATTATAGATCAGATAGCCATCATATATTATAATGGCCAGATAGCTCAGACTTGAACCGAAGGTGGAAGAAAGACGACCTATCAAAATATCAACCGACCTGAAATTCTTGTTCTCCAAACGTTACTAGCTCTTAACCATTATGTCCGCCTATTTTTCACCGTCCTTGGTTGTGATATTATAAAATACCAATAATCTTATCAAAATTGGTCATACTTTCTTTTCAGGAATGACAACTGAAACACCATCGACGCCAGTTACACCGATCGTAACAGAGAAGATTGAAGAGTCGAAAATGGAACCTTCACATCTATTAAGTTTCAAGAACTTCAGGCTAAATTTCTTTTACAACTTACATTTTCGCATGTGACCTTAGTACTTAATTATAGTAGTGGAACAAAATGTGAAATTATTAATACATGAACAAGATTTTCGATTAACTAATTTTGTTATTTTATATTACCTAATTACATTTTTTACATTATTAAGTATATGTAACATTGATTTTGTGCTGAGCCCGGAATCGAACTCACTAACTAAGCCACTGTGGGACGTATCATGGAAAGAAACGCGTGTGGTGTCCGACAGAAGGCGCGGAGGGCTCGCAGTGTAAGTAACAACACCGATGCCAGTGCCAATGCTAGCCTAACTAGTAGGCTGCGGCGCGATATCGCCGCGACCGCGAACGCTGCTCATGAGGAAGAACCCCTGTGCGGTTTGAAATTAGTTGAGCTTTTCACAGTAAATTCACGTGAGTAACCCGCGACTTTTATTTAATAACGTTTCACTGTTGAAAAACACATTTTCACAGAACGGCCGGCCTGGCAAACGAGTACATTAAAGATCACTGATGCCCATTTTTTTATGGAATAGGAGGCAAACGAGCAGACGGATCACCTGATAAGCAATCAGCGCCGCCCATGGACACCCGCAACACCAGAGGAGTCACAGGTGCGATGCCGGCATTTTAAAAAGTATTACGCTCTTTTCTTGAAGGTTTGTATGTCCTATCGGTAAATACCTCTACATAAATGGTGACTTAAAGTTGATATCAAAAATATACTTTTAAGTGAAACACATTGCCCAACCAAGAATACTAATTAAGCCCACATAATGCAATAAACATAGTATCTGTTCCTATATTACATTTAATAACACAAGACGTAACATAAAAGAGGCTCATTAACATTATCCGGGTATGCTACCCGGGTAGATATATTTACGGATATTAGATTTATAAACACGCAAAGGTCAGTTGGCTTAACGAATACGTGTGACGTCACAGGGCTTATCACTAATTATCACGCGAGCTCTTTATGAAATAGGACAGGATTTATAGAACATTTTGTTCCCTTAAGATATGTTAGAGGTTTGTTTTTATAATAAAAAAGAGTAGGCTGCGCGACATCGCCGCGACCGCGCACGCTGCTCACAAGGAAGAACCCCTCTGTGGTTCGAAACTAGTAGAGCTTTTCTCAATATATTCACTGAGTAACTCGCGATTTTTAGTTAATGTTAGGTATTTGTTTTCCTTAAATTTTATTTTGTTATACAAAGTTGAATTTTGAAATATTATCTCCTCAATATTCAAAGGCCTCAGCCGGATGGGAGAAATCATTAGATGATTTTCCCCCCACAAAAAAAGCATAGATCTGTAATTCTGTTACTACAATTTCTTTGTAAAGTGACAGAGATGGCACGATATTTAAGTAAAATTGAGTATTCGATATTCGGGCGTTAGTCTACGGTTTCCTCCGAAGAGCCCAAGTCGTCGCGATATTTTATTTCTTTGATTATTATATCAGCGTGAGCACATTTTACAATTAATGTTATGAGTCCTATGTGATAGGGAATGACCCTATTGCGATAGACCGGGCACAATTTCAGACAAATAAGTAGTTTCGAAAAAACTCAGTAATACTTAACAGTTCATGCTCAACTGTAAAATAAAATTGACAGTTGCCAGTTTTTTGTACGGAAGAATTATTGTCAAATATCAAAATTATTTTTTTGACAAAATTTTGTCAAAGAAATATCTTTGAATATTTGGAATATTTAACTACTGGCCTTGGAAAAATCGACCCTCAAAGAAGTAAATACATACTATAATAGTAAAATGATATACTAATATTTTCTTCCAAGAAAAATGTCTCATGTTCTACTTACGTTGGTATTCATTCGTATTAGAAAGATTAGGCAGTGATTTAATCCAACTAGCGAGCGTAGCAAGTGGAGCTTAACCCAAAAAGATAACGATCACTGGAATCTAGATAAAAAATGATTTCTCGAAATGAGGGTACCTTTTAACCTATAATTTATTTCAAGATGTTTCTTACTTCTTTACCATATTCTGTTCAAAGATTATATCAAGTATTGTTTTTTCATGGGATAAGCTGGTAAACGAATGGACGGATCGCCTGATGGTAAGCAATTAGTGTCGCCCATGACCATGGGCGGCGTTCCGGGTGTCCACCTGCGTCTGCATGCTCCTTGTGTTACAAATGCGTTACCAGCCTGTTGGGATTAAGATTTTGAGGATTGTTGGGGATTAGCGAGATTAGGAAGTATTTGAGCCTCAGGAAACTTCATTCACATGACGAAATACAACGCAAGCATTGTTTTGCCTCGGTTTCTGTGAGGCCGTGCTATCACTCCGGTCGAGTCGGCCCATTCTCACTGAAGCATGGCTCTCCCACTTTTAAAACTTGGTTGTAGTTTTATTGAATGTTTGAATTAAAAA